CTCTTCCCAGGCTTAACTTCACTCCTGATTTTCTCTACCTCCTTCCCTAGAGTGGTGCAGAGGGACAGGGAATGGGGGTTGTGGTCAGTTCATCACACATTGTCTCTGCCGCTCCTTCCTCCTTAGGAAGGAGGACTCCTCACACTCTTCCCCTGCTCCAGGGTGGGGTCCCTCCCATGGCAGACAGTCCTCCACGAACTTCTCCATCATGAGTCCTTCCCACGGGCTGCAGTTCTTCACGAACTGCTCCAGCGTGGGTCCCCCGTGGGGTCACAAGTCCTGACAGCAAACCTGCTCCAGTGTGTGTTCCTCTCTCCACGGGTCCACAGGTCCTGCCAGGAGCCTGCTCCAGCGTGGGGTTCCCATGGGAGCCGGCTGGCATTGGCTCTATCGGACATGGGGGAAGCTTCTAGCAGCTTCACACAGAAGCCACCCCTGTATCCCCCCCACTACCATAACCTTGCCACACAAACCCAGTACGCAATGATTGTGTTTCCTTTTTTTGGTGTTCTCTTTTTCCGTATAGCTAAAAGTTCACATGAAGAACTCTTTATGTCTTGCTCATTATAATCTCCCCCATCCTCTGTTAGGAAAGTTTTGAGGATAATTCATATTAGAACAGTTTGTCAAGAGAGAGTATTTGGGTCTTGCCTCTATTAACCAAACCGCACACACAGCCCAGAGAGGTTCTAGTGATTTTATTCTAACTACTATGCTTGATTCTTCACAGGATGTGGTGTGCCACTGCGGAAGACATTGTAATGAAGAGATAGTCATTTCAGGCACAAACTAGGCAGAGGTTAACCACAGGCTTTGGTGGCAGAGACCTGTATGTTAATACTGGTGATGACTATATAACCTGAGCACATACTGTGGCATTAGTATGCACTGCCTTTAGCAATGCCACCTGTATTGTACTGCTGGTGAGAGCTCGCTTCTGTGCAGATGTGTAAGAACATAATGCTCTCAGCAAACCTCGGGTACCATCTAGACAGCTCAATATTGCACAGGTTTGTTCACTTGGAAAAATACTATAAATACTATAAAAACAGATATCCCATAACCATTTACTAAATTAGTTTTAAGTGATTTTTCATGAAGTCTCTTAACATTATTCTCTTCCAATTGTAGTTCATTTTTAATGTACTTATTTGTCTGTCTTCTGTCTTAACAAGTGGTTTCGTTATTAAAAAATCCTTATAAAAAGAGACCTTTAGTATAGGTTGGACTTACTCAGTGTTCCGGGGGAATAAAAAATTATTTGCAAAATAACCAATCTTATCACATTGTATTCCTCTCTCTGCTTCCTCCAATATCCAACATTAAAAATAACTACCATTCTATAGTGTCCTATTTATTTAACTTATCACTAGCTACTGCTATTGGCTTGTTGTCAGTCTTGTCCAAGATCTTTATTTGGCTTAATTTAACAACCTTTTTTTCTTGTTGCTTCTTTCAAATGCCAGTCATCTCATGTCATATATAATTTGTCTCTCCTAAAACAGCCAAATTATCAGCGTAGCCAAAAATATAAGTCAGCCTATTTCCATTCACGCTTGTAACTTTGCAATAGTGACAGTAACAACAGAGAACTGGAGACAGTTGTCTCTCTACCACAGCCTCATCTGACTGCCAGATGGTGCAGGTATTTAAGTCCCTGTAGGTATCTTTCTTTCATAACCCACAACACGTCTGCACCATCTCAGTAATTCCACCAGGGTTCCAGATATTTCATTGCCTTCTAAAAGCCATCTTGACGATATGCTTTTTTAAATCTGTAAGAAAGCGTGTTTGTACTTGCCTTGTATCCCTATGCAATATAACACAGACTGTAACAAGGTTATACAAAGGGGTCTCTGGATGGTGGAAGTAGCCATTTAGCAGAGCTGGAAATGACCAAAATGGAGATCTTTCCATCAAAAAAAAACCCAACGCACCACCATAAAAAAAAGTAGAAAGCACTTCAATGAACTCCTTAGTGATGGGCTAGACAAAAGCAAATAGCAAATGGACATTTTTGGGCTAGCTGAGATGTTTGTGGAAGAATTATATTATGAAGACATTCAAAAGGCAGCCAGAATCCTCAGGAGCAAACAACAACCAGTTGCTGACAATGTTTCCAGGGAATGATTTAAAATGGGAGATGATAAGCTAAATCAAAACCTTTGCTAATTAGTTGCATTGGAGAGCTGAAAACATTTCCAAATGAGAAACACAAAGCAGTCACATGATCAACTGTTATAAACAAGTGGATGATGCCTTCATCCTGATGAAAATCCATCTGTCTTTGGTACGTTTATAGACATTTTCTAATTTCACAAAGTAAACCTGAAAATAAAAATGATGTTAACAGAAAAACGAGTCCAGTGTGTATCTAAAATTTTTGTTTCATCAACCACTTTAGACTGTGCATCACATATCTAGTATTTGGAATAATTAAAATACAGTGCACTGTATTACACTATCTCTGCTAAACAGATGTGCCACTAGGAAATGTCCTGAATAAATGGATTTTGGCATACCAGTATCTGCGTAGGACATACTGTTGCGGATGCTTCATTTAGGACATTTCAGAAATGAGGCTGCTCTCGTCACACTGCTTAAGCAGCAATAAATGAAATACTACTACCCCACACTATCATATATAACATTATCAATACTTTAACTCTCCCCTCTATTTTTCTTACTTATTAGGGAAAAAAGACGTCTACTTTTACTGATATCTAACGTGCACTATCTAAATAATGTCTCTACAAAATGTAGACTGTTGCCCAGGGCTATTTTATTTCCCTGCTTAAGCTAAGAATAAAAGCATTTATGTCACCCTTTAGGTTTTGAAATCCCCATTAAGCATACTCTTTAGTATGAGAATCATGCATGAAAAGAACCATCATTTTTTAATTTATCTCCATTTTAAACTTTTGGTAGGATTTGTTAATATGAATATTATTTGAAAGAAAATACAGATTTATAACATTTCAGAAGTCAAGAAGTTCATGCAAGAAATCAAAACATCTCTCGCAACAATATTTAAGTACTTTTAATAGTGTTTTATTGTTCTCCCTGTCTGGCACGTAGATTTGAAATCTCCCTATCATGCCACCTTGCTTTTAATGCTTTTTTCCATTCTTCCAGTCTTTTTGTGTAATTTAGTTTTTTCTTGACTCTTAATTAATCTCCTCTCCAGTCTTTCAGACAACGCTATTCTTCAGACAAGGGCAAAAAAAATCAATGATGTTCTAGACTGAGCTGTTCACTGACTTAACCAAATGACACTGTAATCATTGCTAGCCCACTTGTTACATATCTGAGCATTTTTTTATTCATCTGCTTTACCTTTTTGCCCACCTTGGCACACTGAGACAGAATCTTCCTCAGCACGTCCTGCAATGATGACAAGCAGCTGTTTGAGCTCCCACCCACTCTGCTCCATAACTCAAACTTTTCAATCATGTTATTTTTTTCACCTAGCTTTCTAAGATCCCTCTTCCATGCTAGCATTTGTCAAATTATTCACTTCATCTTTAAATTCTGTCATGTCACTAATATATAGATGTATAGAAATAATGAATACTACTTCTAACATTAAATAACAGGACTCCCCTGTCTTACCAACATAGCGGAAAATTATTATTTTATTTATACCTTTCATTGCACATTTCTGAGATGATTCCGAAAGGTTCAGCACACTCCATGGGGCTTACTAGTTTTCTTAATTGCCTTCAGTCAAGAACTTTGTCAAAAGCCTTTTGAAAGTCCAAATAAATTAGATCAAGCATTTCTTCCTCATCCATTATTTTGATGACATGTTCAAAGAGTTCTAACAGATTAGAGGTTTTCTTTCAGCAAAGCTACCCTGGCTTCTTTTAGCAAAATTTAATCTAGAGTTTTGCTCATAATTCTATTATTGATTATGTATTCAATCCATTCAGCTAATACTGAACTCAGACTTACAGACCAGTAGGATAATTCTAGTTTGTTGAAAAAAATCAACAAAACCAAAACAATAGCCAAATTTTAACAGTCAGTTTTTCAATAGGCAATTACGTGCTAATAAAATTTGGATCAGCTCAGCTCCTTCAGTTCGTATAAACCTTGTTTGTAGCCAATCAGCCACCTGATTCTGCTTTCTTTTTAGTCTTTAAATTTCTCTTATTATTTCCTTTAATTGCTTTAATTTAATATAATACCTCATTTTTACTACTTTAAAAGTATAGATGTTTCATTGCATTTTCTGTAGCAGAATCCATGTAAATAAATCTTTCAACTTCTCTGTAGCAATTCCTTCTAAATCTGCTTTTTATAAAACAGCAAGTCTGCTGATATTTTAATGTGTTTTTCTGCTTCTGATGTAGTTGAAAAAAGTCTCTGCAGTTTCTTTCAACTTTACCTATAAGGTCTTCAGACTGCTTCTTAGACTATACATTTTCCGTCTTCCATTTTTCCTGCCACAATTTGTTTTCTATTTTAAGAGTTACAATTTACCTGGAAGAGGCTACATTTGGGGTCAAATAAATGCTTACCCCTCACAATTTTTCCCATTGATTTTTAAATATTTTTCTTAATAATCTAAGGCTGACTCACCATTTGAAATCCCATTCATGTGTTAATTCAAAGAATTACTGTAATTAATTTCAAGGTCACAAAAGGACACTCGCATATCTACTGACGTTAATTACAAGGACTGACAATGGGACATCTAAATATTATCACATATAGCAAAAATTTTGCAACTCAGTTATAAACAGCATCACCGATATAATAAAAGAAACAGTGCAAATCAATTTTAAAATAATATTTTTACATCAACTATTTTGATTAAGAATTGTTCGCTCATGTACAGCTTTTGTAATGTTTAATTTTTTGTTAGACCAAGTTTCCGTTTTTTCCCAATATATATTCTGTTTATACCTCTTCCTGCCACAGACAATTAGAAGATATATTTTTGGATGTTCTATAAATGGTTCATTTACAATAATTTGATTTTACTATTATCCTACCAGAATAAAATGATCCTAATGTTTCCTTTCTTCCAGAAGGCTCTGGCAGACTTTCCCCAGTCTGGGTAGGGTTTGTCCTGAAGCATCATATCCGTGACCTACAGGGAAAGAAGAAACAATACACAGTTAAACTGGTGTCACAGAAGAAAATAATAACACGGTCTTTATGAACACTTTCTTTTATGTATGACACGCCTGCTTCAGTTCTGATAATTTTAATAGTTAGACAGCAGAAAAGTAGTATCTCTAGCATGACTTGCAATCAAGACAAAGTATATTGGCCTACATATTCTGCCCTGAGAAGTGCATGCAACTCCTTGAGAAACAAGGAAACCTGTGGAGACCCAAAGATAAGAGAAGAGGAACTAGTCTAAAAGTTACAGCAACCTATGGTACATAAGCTACGTTCCCCTATGGCTATGAAGCTTTCCAATCCAGCATGGGAGAGGGGAACCACTTCCCTGAGAGCAACATCAGCAGAATTTCCACTCTTGAAATCAGAACTGCAGCCAGAGAGCGCAAGCCTGTGAATTAAGCACGATATGCCATTTATAATCTCCTCTCGCTTCCTGGTATCAGTAATAAAAGCACACTCGGGACTAGAAACATGAAAATCCCTTAAAACTTGCACGGAATTTAAAAAGTATGAAATATTTATTCTCCTTTTCCTAATTCCTATCTAAAGAGACCATCTGTTTCTCTGTCCAGAGACTCATATGCATGCACTACTTCTGGGTGGAACACAGATGTATTAAAAATGACTTTCAGCTAAATGAGGGAGGTGAATACCCTTCAGGCACTTGCACCTTTGGGAAGCTGTGTTTTCATATCCACTTACTTCAAGTTAACTGTACTAAAAAGCACTGAAAGTTACATTACAGTAAACTCATCAGTTCCTTTGTGCAAAAGATCCAGAAGAGTGGAAAACCTATCCATATGTAAAGATTAAGAAATAATTGAAAAGATAAAGGAAATAGGGGTGAGCACCTGCTTCAAAATACAGATAAGTAAAACAAATTCTTACTGTCATTGGTATCAGTACACAGTGGAAAATTACTGTTTTGATTATTATGAAAATAACTCTTAATAAGATTTCAGAAGGAAATAACTTCAAATTGAAGTCAAGATTTCTTGCCTTTTTCCCCACTAAATTTATTTTGATATACAGAGTTTTAAAAATCCAGCTTACCATCCAGAGTGTGAGCTACCACTTTCAATCAATGACATTAGCGGTATTTATCAAAAAGAACACATGGCCCATGATTAAATTAAAACTACATATAAACTACATTCAACTTCTAAATTTTGGTTCCAAGTCCATTTGGGGTTAAAAGTGCTCAGCATATTAGCCTGGAGGGCCGGGTCCAAAGGATAATGAATATGTTAAATAAATAGAAAAACACATTCTAGGATTTTATGATTCCATTAAGCCTAGCCTGAAGAAAGAACAGGTTATATCCTGAAATACCATCTTTACTAATTGTTTTATGTAGGTAACTCTTTTCTCAGATCAGCATGCTGTGATACTTTTTTATAAGATCCCTATTATCTAAATAAATATTTTGATAAATATTTAATGCTGAAGAAAACCTCTGTAAAGATTTAATCCACTACTTTAGTAATACTTTTTTTCTCTTAGGAAGAGTCTACATAGTAATGAATATTTGCAAAGGAGAACAGATATTTTGAGAGTTTTTATTCAATTTTGAAAATATTTTCTCCAGACACTTTCTGGGAAATACTTATTATATTTGGTAGAAGGATGCAATCTGCTGCTCTATGACCAATTATTAGGGTAGCATGTTTCCTAAGAATGACATTCAAGAAGGAGACATTTTCTGAGGAAAATGGTAAGACGAGGCAGGAAATGTTCTTTCTGATATCAGACAGTTGGTCTTTCATCTCCCAGCTTTGGCATTTATTTAAAGTCATATCACCAGATCAATGTCAGGTCGGTTGCAGTTAAATTGGCTGAAGCAGAGACAGTCATTAAAGGGATGCATTCCATAAAGAGAAATCCAATTACCTTTTGCATTAGAGAAATCAAATTCATTTTCTGGTTTGGTCAAGGACAGTCACTGTGGAAAATGGCTCACAGGAGAAAAGCACTCAACACTGTCATAGTGCAGATAAGTTTTAGATAGAACATCAAAAACTCATTGCTGCTGTTAGAATGATGTTTTTAGAAAAAGAAAAAATACGTATTTTAATTTAATTTACACAACTTAGTATGAAGAGATGTGTGAGTGTGTATTTTTTCCTCTCCCTTTGTGTTTCACAATGCAATTACTGGCCAGCAAACATTTCTCTCTTTTTTACTGGACTATATTTGAAAACACTGCGGATACTCAGGAATAAAAAATAATTGATCACTTCAGTAATTCTATGTATGCATGCATTCTACATAATCAAGAGAAAATAGGGAAAGCCACTTACAAAGTAATTAAGTAATGTATTTTTTCCTTGAACTAGGAGATGTGATATACTTTAATCAATTAATTACACTGCTTCAATTCAGAAAGGAATGGCCCCTGCATATAATGACTGTATAGTCTTTCATTTTATTTAGTGTCTCATGAGAGAAATGGTTACACTGTATTAAAGTGCACAAACGAAACTGCATAATACACATTGTCTGACTTTTTAAGTTACACACATGCCACAGCAAAATATTTTCATAAAAAATTAGTATGCCTTGTATATATTACAGAATCTTAAATTTCACTTTGCTAAATAAAAATATGGCTTTATTGACTATTCAAATTATTCACTTCACATTAACTATGAAGATAACTTATAACGCTTTTAAAAAGGAATATTGTTATCATTAAGTTAATAGCAAAATGTTACAATTCACTATTTTTGTTACAGAAAATTAAATCATTCCTTTTGATCTGATATACTACAATAATTTGAAAACTTACATCACATCATATAAAAGAACGAACTTGGGATTCAAAGTCATGTTCAGAGCAAGTAAGTTACACAAACAAGTGCAGAAAGCAAAATTATAAAAACTCAAAAAACCCCAACAAAACAGTAAGATACCTAAGGTACCTGAGACATACTAAGTGGAACAGTAAGACATCTTAAGGATCATTTATTCCTTACGTGTAGTTGCTTTTTGAGTGTATTGCTCAGGATGCTCAGCACATGCTTTAGATCTCTCCTCCCTAGAAATTCATGTCATACGATGCCACGTTGTAAGTCACAGGATCCTTCCCAGCAGAGGCAAGGTCTGCAGCAGGAGTTTCAGGTAAGGCTAAGTATCTTTTCTATTAATAAACTAACTGCAAGTGAAACTTCCTATAAAAAAGAAGAAAATGGCCTAATACTTTGGTCATGCCTTCAAAGTATCTTCCAAGTTCTTCACTAGTAGGAACTATGCTGTCCTCTTCAGAGTGCAAGCTGATTGTTCCTGGAAAACTAAAGTGGCATGGGCTGCTGGCCAAGCTGTTTTCATCTGCCAAATTGCATTTTAGAAACCTAGAAGTATAAAAGTACATCAAATAGTTTCATAGTAGCACTTCTCCACATAAGAAGCTGCAGAAACCATATCTTGAAAGAGAAACGGACTCTGGACAAGCTCTCCAGGATGCAATGTATTCCATGCTGTAACATTCGTTAAGTAGAGAGCAACTCTCAGTGGAGGATTTTCATTGCTTTATTCACACTTGGATAAATGATCAAAACAGGGTACGAGCAGCCCTCCAGAATTTAACAGAATGTAGAAGAAGCCAAGATCCACAAGAAAAGCCTGGAAACACAAACCAAATAGTGAACTCTGAAATCTTTTTTATTATTTTGATACAGCAATGAGCAGTGAAAGGCCTAATGGACAGCAGGACTCCAACATCTTATATCAGTAAAGAAGTTGTTCATACGCAACTACTCAGCCAGGAGGACAAGACATCATGGTGCTATTGCTGGAAAATGGAGTAGCCTGAATAACTCTGTATTTGGCAAAATATGTATTTCTACTAGTGTCAAGTACATGACTCAAGTATAAGTGACATTTTTTCCTATTTTTATCATCTTACAATTTCAAAATATCTTATTTTAAATCATAAATCTCTTCATAAGTAGCGCTAAATTAATTTAATTGGAAACTCAGCCTTTAATAGTTCATAAGTAGCACTTTTCCACTCTGCCCGAACTCTTTACACAAGAAATGTTACTTTCGGTCCTGCAACCGAGGAATTTAATTGATAAGAATGAGTATCATAAACTCTACAAGTTTTCATAAATTGTAAGGATGCCACAGTGTCGGGGCAGGTCTGAGGGCAGTTTCCCAGGGCAGGTGCATGCATGTTGCTTCTTTTCATGCAGCACAACGTTCCTCATCAACCGCTTATGTGTTTCTGAAAAGTACATGTTTTTTCTAGAGAGTGGGGGTAAATCAGGTTAAAGTAATTATGTTTCCTGAAGTCAGTGTGTGAAGTCAATGAGAGCTAATGTATGCTGCTGAGTGCATACACTCCCTTTGCTTTGCTGTTATGTGCTTTTAGGTGAGCTATATATAGGTGTCCCACTAACTACACATCAATTCTTTATCATATCTCAGTCTTCAAGTACTATACTACATCATGGTATTCATATACCAAACCAGGGAAACATTTAGTATTCAGTCATTAAAAGCTTCTATCCATTATTTTTGTCTTCATCTTCTTTGAGATATTTAAAAACTGCAGAGCTGTTCACTTGATGTACAAAAGTAACCTATATGGAAAATGCTTTTATGCTTCTTTCCTCTGGATGTTAGGGAGAAAACTATCTTCTGTGGATCATACCTGAACATTTCCCTGGCTTACACAATGGTAGTATGAAATGCATCCTTTAATTATTAGATTGTTTTGGCAGTTGAGCAGAAGTGTCAAAAACTTTGTTACACATCCTTCAGAAATAACTGTTAATTTATTTTACTCCACTCTGCTGCATTTCAGAATATACAAAATCTGTAAATGTTTGAAAACAAATGTAACAAATATTTGTGCTTAGGCTTACTGTTCTATAAGGGGGATGATATTTTTCAAGCTAAATATTAATAGTCAGCTGTAAATACGCTGCTAGATTTTAAAGTAGTTTTGTCTGCTTTCTA